TTGCTGCCTTGTGCGCTCACACCCACCCCTCCTGGCCCCTCTCTACCCTCTCCCCACAGCCTCAGGTCCCCAACCCCACCCATTTTGCCATGTCCTTGAAGTCTCTATCCTTGCACCTTCCCCCCAACCCTCCATCCCCTTACCCTTGCTCTGACACTGGCAGGCTCTGTCCCCACTCCAGTCTGGTGCACAGAGCCTGGCCCCAGCCCAGCCCTGTAGCAGCAGTGCTGGTTCTGAACTGCTGCTAGAGGGCTGGGCTGGGGCCAGGCTCCATGCCCCAGGCTAGAGTAGGTACAGAGCCTGCTGGCACTAGAGCAATGGTAGGGAGGAGGGGCAGGGGGCTGGCAAAAAGCAAAGGCTGAGGGGAGGCCCAAAGGCAAGGTGAGGGCAGGCAGAAGGTGGGGTAAGTAGGGAGGTGACAGGCAGCTGGGGGTAAGCTGCCTCCCTCCACACCACCTTCCCCCTACTGTCTGTCCCCTATTCCCCCCACAACCACTTGCCCTACCATGTGGCTCCCCGCACTGCAACAGAAGAATTGCTCTTGGTTTTCTGTAATAAAAAAAATGAGTGAAAATTAACAGCAGGCATTTTCCAAGGGTACCTTGAGTCTAAGGTGGGTGCCTTGAGTGTAAAAAGGTTGAGAACCACTGTACTAGATCATACAGTCTCCCAAAAAGATAACTCTATGCTTTATAAACAATGTAGGTTATTATCGCTAGACTGGGTGTTATCTGGGTACTACACCACAGGAATGTTTTTTTTTTTTTAATTGGCTACTGTTAAGATTGAGAAAAAACGGAACATTCATATTTTTTCTGAGCTCCTCATTAAATATCTCTAGTTCTGTGGAAAGCACACCTCCAAAAGGAGGAAAGGAAAAGCAAGCACACACTTCACAACATCTGATTCAAAGGTTCAGAGCTTCTCCTTTTGTTAGCTTACAGTCAATTTGAGAAAATGTTGAATGACTTCCCCAACCATTTCAGTAGTGAATTGATTATTTTTAATTCTGTTTCATTTGTGGGTGGCAGAGTGCTGTAACATTTCCTCTGTGTCAGTCTCATGACAAAAAATTTCATATCCTTAAATTTTCCCATTCAAATGGAAAACTTGTTTCAACAGTGCTGTAAATGTTGCTGTAACTTTCTACTCTTCAGACAAACAGGATCTTGCTGAGTATGTCTTTCTCTTTTATATTTAAAAAAAAAATTTGGGTTGAACGCCAGTGTACTCTCACTTTAAAAAAACAGTCAAGTACGTGTTTCAAGTCACTGACTTGAAGTGATTATGCTTGAATCACTAATGCTTTAATAGTTCACAGATTTTTTTTCCCTTGAGTTATAAAGCATGACTTTGCTTTGGCACTGCACTAAAATTCCAAGATTAAATATTTTATCAAAAACATCCAAGTTGGAGCCTAATTAGATTTGTTTTCTGCCTTTCAGACTAATGTTAAATGATACCCTAGCACAGGGGTTGGGAATTATTTGGACTAGAGGGCCACTTAGGGAGTTTTGGTGAGCTGTTACAAGCCAGGTCATCCGCCATCCCCCCACCAACAGCTCACCAAAACTCCCAGAACTGGGATCAGGATCTTGGGGCCGTGACAACATAGGGCAGGGGTAGGCAAAATTTGGCCCGTGAGGCCATTCTATCCAGCCTGCGGGGCCTGTAAAAAAAAAAAAAAAAAAAAAA